TATAACTACTTAAAGAAAATAACATTTGATGGGCTTGGAAGGTAGCTCAGTGTTTGCCTTGTATGCGTGTGACCCTGGGTTCGATTCCTCATAAGCAGAAAAAGCCGGAAGTACCCCCATGGCTCAAGTAGTAGAGTGCTTGAGCAGAAGAGCTGAGGGACAGTGCTCAGGCCCAGAGTTCAAGCCCCACGACCAAAAAAAAAACAAAAACAAAATCAGTCTCACAGACAGACTTTCTTTGTGATCCTCAGATCTCAGCTTCATGAGTAGCTAAGATTATAGGCTTGAACCATCAGTGCCCAGAAATGCACACTATTTTTAGGAGAAAAAAAATGGAGAAATGAAAGGTAGGACTTGACATATCTTTACCTTAGAATTTATGTTTCTCTCATACACAAACGTGTCAGTTCCCTTTCCTTTTGCTTTTCAGTTAGCCTTTTCATTCTCCACTATATACTAGAAATGCATTTTAGATTGGGCTTGAGGGTTATAAAATTATATCCTTAGAAAATAAAACTACCTCAGGACTGTGGAAGAAGGTGTTAAAGAATAAACTTCAAAAGAAATTCAGAGGATGGAAGTGTTTCTCAGTGGTAAGTGCAACTACCCTAGTAAGCACAAGGATCTGATTTCAAATCCCAGTGCTGCAAAAGAAAAAAGAATAAGAAAAGAAGAACAAGAAAAAAAGCAGACAAGAAGAATAATTGTTTAAATTCCCCATCAAAATGATGTTTGGTTCTCTGTAGTTTTGAAGTGGCTTGCTCTTAAGTTATAGGCATCTAACTGGAAGAGACCCAGTGTCTCTATATAAAAGTCTGAAGATGCCTACGATGCTTTTATCAGGAGAGAGGTGGGAAGAAAGTTCCCCTTGGCTCCATGCCCATCATTGTTATTTTTGTAGAGCTTGGCAGCCCACACTCAGCTTTCTCTGTATGCCATGGTGCTGCTCCCTGCCTCAGAACCCAGGCCACCCCTTGGGCTTGGCCTGTAATACTTGAAAGGCACTGACACCACATCAGGCTTTAGAATGACTTCAGAGGAGTTTAATGGGCCCCAGATGATATCCAAGGCCCTGGAGCAGATAAAGATGCTTCATAGATGTATTTGTCAACCCAGGGAGATAGCCTCAAAGCTCACAGTGGAAGATCTGTATGCAAAAATGACTCACTGTGTCCTTCCAGGCTAGAATTTGCCAATCTCTAACAAGTAAGAATTTAAATAAGGGAAAAGGGTGGGGTTGAAGAAGGGTGAAGGTATTGAAGGTATAACACAGGTGTACATAACATCTTTGTTGAATAGCAAAAAAATTCAATACATAACCTAAAACTTAAGAAAAGTGAGGGAAGGGGAGCATTAGGAAGGAGGCTGAGAACGTTGAAAGGGATGACATTGATCAAGATGCACTGTTTTCATAAAGTGGGTTGTTGAATGGCAACTCTTTTGTACAACTGCTTAAAGATAATAAAAACATTAAGATAAAAGAATGCTTAAGCTTTTCTTGAAAAGTTAGTGCTGCTGTCAACTTCTGCATTCTTTAATAAAATTTGCTGAAGGAGAAGTCAGACTATTTTGACTGAATAGCTTTGAGTAGACCCTTTGATATTTTAGTTGTACTAGGATTTAGTGATCATCTGTGAAAAAACTGTATTTTAAAGATGAACAGTTTTTACTTTTCAATTGGATTGAGGAATAGAACTATTAACAATCTTATACTGATTTCTAAAATCTTCCAACTTGACTTCTATTAAAAAGTATAATTTAGGGCTGGGAAGGTGGCTCAGTGGTAGAGCGCTTGCCTTGCATGCAAGAGGCCCTGGGTTCAATTCCTCAGCACCACATAAGCAAAAAGAAAAAAGCTGGAAGTGGCGCTGTGGCTCAAGTGGTAGAGCACTAGCCTTGAGCTGAAGAGCTGAGGGACAGCGCCCAGACCCAGAGTTCAGGCCCCACGACTGGACCCAAAAAAATAAATAAATAAAAATAAAAAGTATAATTTAAATGTCGTCATAAAAGAACAGGAGGGAGGTTCTTTCTAAAATATGGAATTATGATTAGGTAGCCATGCTGCTGCTGCTGATTCCTTTGAGAGTGATTTTCACAATTTCTTAATTGCTTATTTTATTAGTTAGCATAGCATTTGCTACCCAACAGCAATATAGTGAGAGTCACATGTGTAATTTAAAATTTCCTATTATGTGAATTAACAAAGTAAAAAGAAACACATGAAATTAATTATATCTAAACCAGTACAATCATTTAAACAAATAATCAAAATTAAATTTTCCATTTGATATTTGTTACTCTTTGCAGTTGTTGTGTTTCTCACACTTACAGCACATTTCAGTTGAGACTGAAAATTTTCAAATGTCTAATAGCCACTGTGCCTAGTGCTCATGGTACTGAGCACCCCACATTATAATATATTCATTAAAGTTTTCAAAGATCTGTGGAAGCTACCTTATAATAAAAATAATTTTAGAGTTATTGTGTAACTAGAAAGAGGGGAAATAGGTTGATATGTTGAGTAAAATAGCTTTTTATGACATCTTGAATGCCATGTGTGAGATTTCCTCATTTCTATGATTGTACATGTAAAAATGTATTTTTTATTTTCATGAAGTCAAGGTTATTTTTACTTAAAAGACATAGTTTAAAGTTTGGGGGAAAGAACAAAGGCAGTCTATACATAGTTTGTGTATTTAATTGTGAATCCCTATTTCGTTTCCCTTATATACATATTACCTTTAGTAAAATAAATAATAAAGACTGTGGAATATGGCAAGAGTAGACATGCCAATTGTCTTCGCTGATAAAATGTTTCTTAAAAGTTATAAAACACACACACATCTACATATATTGTACATGCATGTGTGAAACACCATGGTGAAACCCATTGAAGAATTAGCATACACTACAAAAAAGTGAAGAACAAGAATGTAAAATAGGCGCTGGAATGTGGCTTAGTAGTACAGTGCTTGCCTTGCATGCATGAAGACCTGGGTTTGATTCCTCAGTACCACATACCCAGAAAAGGCCAGGAGTGGTGCTGTGGCTCAAATGGTAGAAAGCTAGCCTTGAGCAGAGAGGCTTGGGGACAGAGCCCAGGTCCTGAGTTCAAGCCCTGGGACTGGCAAAAGAAAACAAAAGTAAAATAGGTCCTGTCTGGAATGAGGGAACTAGTGAGAAGTAAGAGGACAAATGGAGAAGGGGAAGGAAGGTGAATATGATCAAAATACTTTTATTTCAAGCTGTGAAAATGGAACAATAAAGGTTTGTTGAGATTGGTTTGGGAAGACAGGAAAGAGGAATAAGGAATAATGAAGAAGGGAGTATGATCAATTGTACATGTTGTGTAAAATCCCCTTGTACAACTAATTGATGCTAATAAAACATGTAATAAAACCATAGAAATGAAGTCATCAAGGAAGCATGTCCATTAAGATTAGAAGAACTTAAAAGGAGTGGCAAAGTAGAATGTCACTCATAAAACCATTTAGTAAGTTCCTTTTTATTCTTTGAGATATTTTATTTTTTGAATATCTTTATTTTCGTTAAGTAGTTGTACAAAGGCATTGCCATTCAACAAAGCAGTTTATGAATATAGTTCATTTGACCAATGTCATCCCTTTCAACATTGCCACCCATCCTCCCACCCCGCCCCTTCCCTCACTTCCCTTAAATTTTAGGTTACGCATTGAATTTTTGCCATTTAAAAAAGAAATTTATGTCCACAGTGCATCTTGATCCATGTCATCTCCTCAACAGCTTCACCTCCTCCCCTTTGACCCACCTGTTCCCTTATTTTTCTCAGTTCTGTGGCATATACAATTCATCACTGCCTTCATTCTATTCCCTTCATATTTTATTTTTAATTTAACTTAATGAAATTTTTGGCTTAATATCACAAGAATTTATTACTTTCAAGTTCTGGGGACCACAAGTCTGAAATGAGTTCCAAAATCAAGTATTACCTCCTACTGGGCACTGGTGGCTCACACCTATAACCCTAACTATTCAGGATTGTGGTTTGAAGTCAGCCCGGGCAGGAAATTCCATGAGACTCTTATCTCCCTTTAACTACCCAAAAAGCCAGAAGTAGAGCTATGGCTCAAGTGGTAGAGTACTGTTCTTGAGCAGAAAAAGCTTAAGGACAATGCTGCAGCCCTGAATTAGAGCCTCAGGACTGGCCGCAGAAAAACAAAATGAAAACAAAAACCAAATGTGATTGAACAATTTTGTGTTTGTTCTGCAACAACCTCCAGGGGAGGATTCCACGAATTGGGCTACAGACATGTTTGTGTATGTGTGTATGAGAAAAAGATCTAGACAGGTGGGTAGCAGTAGCAGAGGTAGACCCAAATGAGAGCCCAGTGGTGGAGAATGTTTATGTTAGGCATCAGTCTTCCCTCACTCCATGTCCAGTTGATCAACCCCAATTGGAAGCCAAGATGCTAAAAGAATCCAGGAAATGCTGTCCCTAGAGATCAACTTCTTAAGACACACAGCAGGGCAAAGAAGGACTATGGAAGGTACACTATACTGGGAACAACCAGAACACTCTGGGAGCCTTTAATTCATCATTTGCTAAATGAAGACTTTATACCTATTCAAAAGAGCTGAAATATGAGAAAATACTAGTTAAGCATTTAACACAGCTTAGGACATAATACAAAAACTCAGTAAATATTGCTTAGCTTTAAGAGGTAAGAGCAGTGGCTTTTGATTCCATGCCTTCTCCCTGGGAGTAAGTTCTTTACAGTTGTCTTTAAGTATCCAGGTTTGAAGAGGAAAGGGAAAATGATGACGTTCAGAACACACCTCCACCAAAAGCCTCCTCCTAATTGAGTTCTTTTTTTGTTTTTGAATATTACCAATCCCACTTCTCTTTTCCCTAAAATGAAAAATCAGTGAAGCAACCCTGAATTTCTTGCCTGCTCTTTCTTGAATTGATTTCTAAAGATCTTTTTTTTTCATTTTTTTTATTTTTTGTTTTTGGCACCCAGGAACTAAATAGCTTTAATTACTTGGATCTGTACAGACTTGCTGACCTCTTTAACCTCACTTTGCTGGAGAAGGCAGTGATCGATTTCTTAGTGAAACACCTCTCCGAACTCCTGAAGAGCCGCCCAGAGGATGTCCTCATGCTTCCTTACTGCTTGCTCCAGGAGGTGCTGAAGAGCGACCGACTCACTTCCCTGAGTGAAGAGCAGATCTGGCAGGTAAGGGGGCTCTGCTGCCTCCTCAGCTGGTGACCAGGAGACTGGGCATTGAATGGCTGGAGAGTAACTACCAGTATTTTGTTGAGTTTGGTCTCAGTGGGGTTGAAGTTTTAGAAATCCTGTTCCCTTGATAAAGCAAGCCTGCCTCCAGGCTCTCAGACCTGACCTAGCTATGCAGCCTAATTCTCAAGATCGAAGGTATAAATCTACAGCAGACCCTCATACACTGTGACTTCCTGAAACCCTAACCTGGCTACATCAGAAAAAAGTTCAGGGATTTTTTTTTCCTTCCTGAGAAAAACAACTTGTTTCTTCAACTGAATATGAGAAGAATGGATTATAAAATGAAATTGTGCATATTCAAGACTGGTGATAATCAGAATTCACTTTGGCTTTCTCGCTCCTTGTTTAAATAGTACTAGAGCTTGAATTTGGGGCCCTGGTTTCTCTAGACAAACATTATACCATTTGAACCACATCACAGCACTTCCTTGCTTTATTTGGGAGATACTGACTCACACTTAAGCCTTGGTGGGCCTGGATCACAATCCTCCAGTTTACTCCTCCCACTAGCTAAGATGATAGATGTATGCCACCGCACCCAGCTATTGGTTGAGATGTGGTCTTGCAGTCATTTAGCCCCATCGGCCTCAAAGCATAATTCCCCTGATGTCTACTTCCCAAACAGCTAGGATTAGATGTATGAGCTACCAGGGCCTGCTAAATTCTGGGGATTTCTGTAAATAAATAAATAAAATAAAATAAGATTTTTTTAAAATTACAGTAGATAGCAGCTTGGACCTCAAATTAAGTGAAACTTGCACTGCAATGAGAAAAATCTCCCTCCTCTGTTCATTCTGCATTCATTGCTATTTTCTTAAGCCTTGCCTTTTCGCCTGACAGAGCATTCTTTTTACATTCTGTGACTGCTTTGTCTAGGGTGCAGGAGGATGTTTTGTGTTTTGAAGTTGATTACTCAATTTACATCATCTTCTGCCTAGCCTTCTGACTAGCCTTGAATGAAACTACCTGGTACCTTTGGGAAATAGAGACCATCTTCCCCTTCTCTCTAAAGCTGACTTTCTCATGCCACAAACAGTAGAGAGCCAGTGATCAGGATTTCATGATCATCTGCAGAATGGCTATATATCCAATACAAAGGAAAGTTTCAGTATTCTATTGGATGGCAGCTGATATCTTACTAATTACATTCAGAGAGCATTTCAGTGCTGGTCAGAACTGAGTCATCTATAGCTGTCAATTATAGATGATTTTCTTTACACCTTCATTTCTTCTTTGTATTCATTAATTGGCCACTTTCCTCTTTATTGTTGAAGAAATACAGTGTGCTAAGGGTCAGCCAGGTCTAGGGTCTTGGACACTTTAATATCTTATTATCATAAAGGCCTGCAGACTTCCTGTCCCTACCCCAAATCTTCCAGGTTAATAGAATGAAGCTTCAGTGGCTGGCTCAGAATTAAAAAAAAAAAATCTAGCCTTCAAACCCAAATCTGATTATACCTGCCCCCAACTCTCCACTCTTCCATACTGTCTTGATTTTTTTAAAAAAATCATTAGTTTTCACTGCTTCTTAGGTATTTCTGGGAATATTTATGCAGGCAGAAGTTGAAAGTGTTGATGAAGATGTGATTTTGGAGGGGATTTCTATGATCAGTAGCTTTTCCTGACAGTGTAAGTCATCAGAATTCCTTTTGGTCAATTCCAGGTGGGAAATAGCCATATTTTCTTCACGTCTGAAGGGAAAGAGTCACATAAATGTTGCCTTTACTTTTTTCTAACTAAATTGAGGTTTGAGGCCACACAGCCTTGTGGGTCTCTCTTCCTGTGTGACCATGAATGAAGGCATTGGCAGATATCAACGAGTTGAGGTGCAGATGTCTGAGTGTTATGAAAATTCCATCCTGTTCACTTACGATTTATCATAATTGTCTCTCTGAAGGTTACTAATATTGTACTGTAGAATTTTAGAAACTTGATTTCAGCTACAGGCAATAAAGGTATTTTTTCTTAGAAATGGTCCTCAAGAAAGAATTAAAAGACTCACACAAATATTATCAATTTAGGCATTCACCAGACGATAAGAAACTGCTTTGGCTTTATCTTAGTAAATAAGTAATTCCCTCATACTCACTGGAGAAAAATCAAATCAGACCAGCTACGGTGCCTCAAGTATAGTTAAGTTCATCTTTTTTTTTTTTTTGCTGAGGTTATACTAGTAATGCAATATACCATGGAAGAATCTAATATTCAGCCCAGGGTGAAGATTGGGTATGCCAGAGGATTAGTGTCAGGGTGCTTTATAGAAGTGAAACTTGATGGACAGGCTGGAGACACATCTACAGAATCTCATTAAATTGCTGAATTGTTCATTACGAAACGTTCTCACTGTAATAAAGTGCTCATTGACTTTGACAAATCCCCATCCCATGTCTTAAAGAAGAACAGTGAAACAAGGGCTGTTGGGGAAGAGAAAGGAAATTGGCACAAAGTAGGACAGGTAATAGAAAAGTGGATGCAGGGGCAGTGCTATTTGATTAATATGTGCAACCACTAGCTCAGGTGAGAGCGCAGTAAACACACACACGTTTACCCAGGTGGCTGCTCCATATACACTGATCATGTAATCCGAGGCAATTCCTTTTGCGGTGAAAGGTCTAATTTTCATTATTCTCCAGACTTCACACAGTCTGGCTCTGAAGATCTGTCATAAGAACCTTTGAATTATCCTTACTGAACAAACTCTATTCTTTCTTTCTTCTTCTTCTTCTTCTTCTTTTTTTTTTTTACCTTTTTCCTGCCTTCTTTTCCCTTCCCCAGTCCCTTTCCTTGATAAAATGTGCTACAAGATACAGTTCTGTTCTGTGCATCTCTAAATCTGTGAAATCCCTCAACATTATGCCTTATATCTGATTTTCTTTTTTATTTGACCTTTTTACACTTTAAGTATCTTCTCTCACAGAAGGCTTCATAGTCTCTCCCCGGGATATTTGTCCACCCCCTCCCCTCTTTCCTTAGTCTAGTCTGGCTACTTTGTTCTGTATTCACAGGTAAAATAGAAACGTGTACCTATTCATAACTTAGATATATAAGGACATAGGAGTCCTTTCAAAAACTACTTTGTTTTTCTTTTATTTTGTGAGATTCAGTTCAATACAGCACTTGGTTTTATGTTTTGAGACTACTGATTTCTCAAGAGTCAGATGAAACACAGCAAGTCGGTTATTGGGTTTAAAGAAAAAGGAGACAATGCAGTTAGAGATGAGGTGGAAGTATGAGACAGAAGGTTCCTCACATCAGCTTCCAGGTTTTATTTATCTCTTTGAACTGAACTGATCCCTATTAGATTCAATAGATAAGGGGCATGCGAGGGTTGGGTAGAATTGAGGAAAAACTGACCAGGGGTACAAAATCTTCAGTTACAAGATCAGTAGGTTCTGAGGATTTAAATTACATGGGTGGTAGTAGATATGCTAATTACTTTGACCATGGTCATTAGTATATGGTGTGCATTTGTATATTATTTCACCTTGTTGCACAACTTCAATGTAGACAATCCTTATCCGTTAATTAAATAGCTTTAAATAAATAGATAAATAAGGAAAACACAGCAACTCTTCACTAAAAAGAAAACAAAAAACTGAAATGATTCCATATCACCTTCACACATCAGCCTAGTTTTATTTTAGTCAGCACCACTGATAATCTGTTTCTTTTCCTAAGGAAAGTACATTTTTGGATTCTTCAGTGTCATATTGTCTTTCACGAGTCTGAGGGGAAAATGACTACTTTCAATAGAAAGGCCATTGATAGAAAATGGAGATACAAATTCCTAGAAAAAAACAGAAGTTGTAGCTCTTCATCTATCAATACTTATTGGGCGCCTGTTAAGTGCCCTAAACCATTCTGACATGGAAGGTAGTGGACAGGTGTCTTAACAGGTGTCATCTCCCAAGCCTTACCAGTAATGGGAGGAACCTCTATTATTTTAAGTCATTAGTACAAATATGTGACTCTTTACTTCATCCCCCAAAGTAGTATGAGCACAAAGGATATTTTTAAGTAATTGTGAAGATTAAGGGGAATGATGCTTAAGCATCTATTAGGCTGGAAGTTAAATCTCTAGGAAGCTTCACAAAAATATTGATTAAGTTACTGAGATTAATTTCACCCTTATCTCATAAGTAGTTTGTTTTCCTTCATTATTGGTTACTGTTTCCTACTTTGAGTGAGGTAGACTTGTATTCATAGGGACAGTACTTTTTCAATTTTTCTGAGCCTTGGAATATTCTCAGTGTTTTTCTCTCACTAGCTTTGGGTCTGAGGGTACCTGCTACTTGTATTTTGAGGCAAAATCTGCCTGAACTTAAGTAGATAATAATTCAGTAGTCACCTGATTGATGCAAGGACAGACCTTAGCAGAGGGAACCTTTGAATGTAGTTATGGCCCATGTCAATGGTGTGGGGAGTGTGTGGGCAGGTTAATCTTGTTTAACTTTGTCTTTGATTACCCACAGGCTGTGCCTGTTGCCTTTGCAGTGTGCAATGTCATATTGTTCCCTTGCACTCCATAAATAATAAATCTAGACAATAAGGCAGAGTTTTCCTATTAAAATGCATTGAGTGGATAATAAGACAGCCTACATAACACTCAGTGTATTCTAGGAAATGGAGAAGGCAAAACAAGTTTGCCTTTTTAAGTCTGCGCTTTTCCTTATATTTCTGTCAGAAATTTGCTTCCATGAATTATACTCTTATTAATATATTCCATCTGTATCTCGAGAGATGTAAGTCACATATCGTTTAGGATGGTCAACAGCTTCAAATGCAGTGGATTTTGTTGACAAACTCCACCTCAGCTTTTATCTGTACCACAAAATCACCCACATTACTGCTTGATCTAATCATTTTCTTTAAAAGGAATCCCAGAAGGTGAACCCAAATGAAAATTTTCCCATCCCTTTATAGTTAGAAAGTAGAGG